TCTTAGTTCATGGACATTTTTTGGTCTTGGGTAATTCTCAATTACAGCTATTTTCCGACCTGGACGCAGCTGACCTTCCTTAATATTAAAACCTAAGTAATCCAATTCAGTGACTCCAAAAGCACACTTGGTTGGGTTCAAGGTTAACTTAGCACGTTCAAGAGCTTGAAATACTCTTTCCACTTTCCTACACATGTCTCCCCAATCTGTTGCTGGAATAATGACATCGTCGATGTAACAACGAACAACACCTTCCCTCTTGAGAGTTCCCAACACCTGGTCCATCAATCGGCAAAACTCAGCTGGAGCATTTCTCAAACCAAAAGGCATACGTTCGAACTTGTATACTGCATCAGGAGTGATAAATGAAGTCTTGTCTTTCGCTCCCTCAGCCAAAGGTATCTGTAAATAACCATTCGATAAATCTAAAGTGCAGAACATCTTACCAGCAGACAATGAACTCAATTGTGAATCTACATCCGGCATTGGATATGACTGTGATATTGTCTGACTATTCAATCTCCTGAAGTCAACACACAACCTCTTCTTTCCATTTGCTTTATTGACCAATATGACTGGTGACGCATAAGGAGACCTGGTCTTACTAATTATACCACTCCTGACCCATTCGTCAGTAATTTCCGCTATCTGTCTTCGCTCTTGTTCGGATGTGCGATACGGCTTCATCGATACAGGCTTACTGTTTTGTTCTTCCATTATCTCCATTGTCACCAAATCCGTGCAACCCAATTCTTGTAAATTTAATGCAAACACTGCACGATACTTATTCAGTAACACTGTTAGTTCTTCTTTTTGCGTGGAGTCAACCTGACTGCCTATTATCACATCATCTGTTGACAGTGACACTTTTGATGTTGACTGTTCTTGCACCAAGCATACTTGAACTCCATGTTCATGCTTATTAATATTGGCACATATTGATTCCACGTCCATATCTGCGTACTCAACGACAAACGTGTCATCTTGTTTGTGGTAAGTAATCTGAGGCAAATTGAGCCAAGACTGTCCAATCAATACTTCTACTGGAATTGCTTTGTCTTCAACTACTAAGAATTGCACCTTGTCCGTCTTAACCCCATCGATAACCAGCTCTCCCATTACTTCTGCTAATGAAGTGATTCTAGGTGTCTTCATATCACCCACAGCATACAATGGTTTGATTGATGACACTATTGGTAATTTGGTCCGTACAGCTGCAGACGATCGGATTAAACATACTGTACTACCTGAATCAATGAGTCCATTGAATTCAACTTGGTTAATTTTCACTTGTTTCCCAAACGGATTCTTCCCTGCACACCCCGCCACCACAACCTGGCACGTTCTGGCAGGATGTTCTTGCTTAACAGAAGGACATTTGCCCCGAGTATGTCCTTCGGCGCTACACAATGAACATTTCATTGGTCGTTTTGGTCTTGGACAATCGCGCGCTATGTGTCCAAAACCAGAACAATTGTAACACTTAATTGTACTGTGTCGTGAGTCAGATGTCGGTGATTCTGTTTTCGTAGTGGTTCGTGTCGTCGATGTGAACTTACTTGGTTCTGCCTGGTTACTTGTTGTTTCTTTTTTTGACCACATCTTACTATGATCGACTTTAGTAATTACGGAAGTGTTTGGCTGATCTCCACGACGATCAGACTGACGTTGCCACTCCAATATATCTATGAGTAATTGGTCTTCGTCATAGTGCTTCCTTCCAAATGCATACATCGCGAGTTCCCGAGATAAAATGCCCTGTAGAACATAATCGCGAAGTTCTTCGAACTGTAATCTGACACCTTTGCACAACCGCACCTTATCTTGAAAATATGACATCAGTGATTCATCCTTGTGTTGTACACGACTGCGCATAGCGTCCCACTTGTCGGCCATGCGTAATTCACGTACGAACACTAGTTTAAACTTCTCACGAAACGTGGACCAACTCACAAAATTTTTCGATAAAAACCAATTACGTGCCGCATCAGACATATTCGAACGTACAAAATGTAGACAAAATTTGGATGGCCACCGATTCAAATCAGCTAAACCCTCTATCGTTTCCAACCAATCTTCGGCTACGTGAGAAGGTTCCAATCCAGTAAAACATTTCACTGACTTATTGACGTCTGGGATGACACGAAACTCTATCGATTCATCATTTGTCTTAGTGTTCAATGGTGTCTCGTCATTTTTCACATTTACCAGTGCTAATTCATCTTCTAGCTGTTTGAGTTTAGCTCGTTGCTCGTTCACTAATTGGTACAATTCATTATACTTAGGTGCTGTAATTTCATCAACGTGATCACTCGACATCGTCACAACAAACGATTCGCTCAAGACTGACAAGAAAATCTTTGTGATAACAACGGCTTATCACATGTAAACATAACCAGCTTATCAGCTCTACTAGCGATGCAGTCATCGATTGACACACCGTAACGTCAACTTATGCGCCACCGTTACTTCCTCCGCACACTATTACCACTAAACCTCGTGGTTTCGCAACACCAGTAGCGACTAATGAATGTAATAAGCACCAACCGTCTTCTGTGTTAAAACAAAATCAAAACGGCAACTACACTCGCGAACTATGGATTTATGATCCCACTTCTGAAAATGTTACTAATAGGTTTTAAACGAAGACAAACGAATTGTACTTACTAAAGCAGTTTTATTAAAATGCATAAACAAATAACAACAAACATACGAACATTACGAACAGAGCCCACAACCGGTACTCTACGACTGACTATAACCATGACTGAATGGTCAAGCCCTTTTCAAAAAACAGGGTAGCCAACAATTTAAAGTTGGAATTTTGACAAAATTTATCAAAATCTCGAAAATTATCAATCGTTGGAATTAAAAAATTATAAAATGTTCAGTTTTTATAACTAAGAGTTGAAAATTTAAAACAAAGATTCTCTTAAATAATTCATACTGTAACCAAAAAATCTAAATAATATATAAACACACTTATTTTTTACAGACATTTTAATTTCAAATTTAGACAAAATTTCATATTTAAACCAAGAATTACGATTTTAGTTATTTTGTTGTGATTGAATAATATTATTCGTGGGTACTTGAAACTTCTAAAGTGTACTATTATATATCTATGACAGTATCACGGTTTTTGTTGATGTATAACGCGTTATAAGTATCTAATGGATATTGTGATATGATTAATTTGGAATTTATTATAGGTCAATTTTTTGTTTAATACCATAGATATGTATAACCTAACCTAGACTGACATACCGTCACCGCTCAGAATCGTTTTTCTTATACAATGATATTATATCATTGAATTCAAATTTAATACCATCCATTATACAGTGACCCACTTGTAACCTACTGTACAGCAGAGCGACACCCACTTACCCACCTTTTTTTTCTATGTTTTTAAGTAATCTTAGAGTAAAATCACCCATTACAAAAAAGATAGAGAATAATATTTTTGAGGGAATGTCATATCGATTTGTCTAAATATTGTCTCAAAACAATTTAAACATCATTTTAAACAACATTTTTTTGTTTATTTTGAAAGTAGAATACAAAGTCAAATAATAATAAAATATAAAATCGATATGACATTCCCTCAAAAATATTATTCTCTATCTTTTTTGTAATGGGTAATTTTACTCTAAGATTACTTAAAAACATAGAAAAAATGTTTCTGCGTAAATTCGTTTTGTCCATGTTGCGTGTGGGTCAGAGTGAGAAAACAAATAGTGTGCTGACATCCTCTTAATTTTTTACGAACTACAAAAAAAAATGTTTTTATTAATTTGTATTACTTAAAAACACTCAACGGGGAATTTTTTTGGTCATCATTTGTTATGCAAAACATTAATTTTTCTTCTGTAGTGGTGGAGGGGAAGCGGTCTGTTGAAACAAGTTTTTTTAGGTTTGGCAGAACTTCAAATTGGGCACCCGTAGGTTTCCGTCACGCCCGGGCGGGGGATGGCTACACCTCTCTCCGGATACCGTGATTTGCCTGAAGAAAAATGTCGCCCGTGACGTGCACCGACGCCTTAGTCCGCTCGGCCACTCCGTCCCCCAAAATAATAATTTATAAAGACATTAAACATACACATAACACATTGATATAATATATTTTTAGGTGTCATTAATGGTTTATGAGAAAATTGAATCCTCAAATTCTCCCTGTATACTTGTCTGTCCGATGTCCGTGACATTATTTCAAGGATTGTTCCTAGTAAAGTAGCAGCTAAATCAGATTTTTAACGCTGTTACAGTGCTACGAGACAAGGCAGATGTAACCAGGCAATGTTACATGTGCTTTTACCAGACAGCTGACACATATACCAACTTTAATCATATATAATTTCATATAATAAATGTTAGTCAAATATATTTAACAACTAAAATAATAAAACAAAATAATAAATGGTAGTTTGTACAATGTTTGCTTTAAAATACTGTTTGCAATCAACTCACATAGTGATTTGAGTATCAATATTTTATAGTTTTAATTTGATGTTGCAAATCTATGATTTCAAATGTGAGAAATAATAAAAAACAAGACATATTGTAGTCTAAACATTAAATTATATATCATGATTTATATTTTCATAAATGTTTATAATTCTGCTAACGTTCACAAGACAAACAAAATGTCGTCAGTTTAATATTTAATTTCTTAAAACCTTAGATCTATAATTATGACAAAACACTTACACTTAAGACTAAAAAAAAAAAATATATATTAATATTTAACATCACAATATCAATATGTATTAGATAAATCATTATACGGAAACAATAAAAAAAAATATTATCACACTGGTACATATTAGAGGGAACTTCTAAGACCTTTAACACTATTTGTTGCAGCCACAGAAATTTGAAATTATGTATATAAAAAAAAGGTGCACAACAATAAATATAATTTTGAAGATGCTATTATGCGAGATACTTATATAATTGTTTAGTTAAGGATAATTACATTGTTATAAACAACAGTGTTATTAGTTGAGATGGAAACCTTTTTCAAGAGTTGCAGCCAACAGGCGTTCCCTCAAAGTAAGTTCATCAGGATACTCTGGTAATTTCAAGTAATGGACGCAAGTGTTTACTGATGGGAAGCTACCTGCACCAGCATCAACTTTACGTACTACAGTTAGCCTTGGATATAGATTGGCGAGCCCTCCCGGTGGTAATGACGAACAGCCTGTAGTAAATTGTAAGAATGATTTACGTTCTTCAGAATTCATTTGTTCCAAAACGTTCACCAAACGTAAGAATCCAGGACTGAAATAAAATTTTAGTATTGTTAATGATGATGAAAGTTAGCTCCTTAGTAATAGATTAAAATTTTTAATAATTCAATAGGTATGTGGTTGTTTATAAACACAACAATTTCAATATTTCAGATATTGATTACCTATGTTAAAAGTTAGTACAATAGTTCATTAAAGGGATCGCATGTCACGTGTTTTTCGTACGTTTTAGACCAATAAGCGGTGGTAAATTACAAATATTACTACACATATTTCCGAATGTCCGATTTTTATTTTTAATATATGTATGAATTCTTTGGCAAAATAACTAGGCTTTCTAGGAAGTCGATTTTCAATTTTCAATTTAAAAGGACCATAAAATTTGGATATTTTTTTAAAAAATCTCATGAAATAATTGCATTACATTTGTATTTATTTTGGGCTTTTTGGGTTTTATATCAAAAAAAGTGATTCCTACAAAGCATAGTCTAGGAGCTTACGAATTCAACCATTTTTTTGAAATTACAATCAAACTTCACTAAGTATGTTTAATTTATTACCGCTTTTGGTATTTTTATAGGTAATGCATGAATAATATATTTTGTTTTTTATTATTTATTGACGTGTGCGTGCGAGAGTGGCAAAAGGCGGAATCCGAACGTATCTATGCACACTAATGATCATATACTTTGCCCACAACCACACTGCGTTACAAGTATTAGACCCCTTATTAAATCACTGCCTTCAATCCCCTTAATATTTACTAACTTACATTGTTAATTTAAACTATATCTAAAATATATTTAAATTTATAATATATTAATATTTTTTCTTTTTTATACCTTTCTTTATTATATCCTAATTTGGGTTCTGTGTAGTTCAATAGATCTTCTCGGGTCCATTCTGGTTCTTGTTGGCCACATAACATTCGTCTGACCTCAAGTGGAGTAAATGCATTAAGCTTTTCGTTTGAGAATACACGGCAAAAACCAGCCTTTAGTGCATCCATTTGTCTTTTGATGCCTGTCTCCAATATAAAATCAGTCAATAAACTAACATATTGCTCTACATTATCCATGTTAACATCTTGACTAAGACCCTCATCAACTAAATTAATGTAAGTAAATGGAAAGCAGTAAGATGATGGTAAGTAAATCATGCTCAAACTTAGATTTTCTAAGTGCACTTTGCCGGTTTCACCACACTGAAATTGCAAGTTTTCAATTTGTTCACTTTTTTCTTCATCGCTCAATGATGGATCCAGTAAAATTTTTTCTTTTGCCGAAATTAACAGTTTTAAATCTTTTATAAACTTTGCTTGATCTTCATCAATGTCAAACAAGTCTGATTCATTTAGAACTCTACCCGATCTAATTAAATAATTGCATTCATTAATATAATATCAAATTGTATAATATTATTAGTAAGTTAACTTACTCATTATTTTTTGCTTTAGTTAATAGTTTTAGGAATGGCAATGATAATGGAAGGTCAATTAAGCGATTATCTTGAAGTACTTTAGCTAGGAACATGCCAAGGAACCAAAAATGTTTTACAACTCTATCACAACACGGCGAATCTTGAGGTAATGGTGCTGGGTAAAGTCCACCTGTCCGTCTAACATAATAGCCAGGTGGTTTGGATCCTTCTTCAAGCCAAATACATTGACGGGTCTCTTCAGGCATTTCATCATTACACATCCACATGCCTATAGTACAAATATATTGCATTTATTTTATTCAATAAATATTAAATATAAAGAAAATTATTAAAATATTTAATACTTACATAGATCTTTTCGCTGAAACTCTGCAGCAATTAATGAATAAAATTCTAATGTGGGACCTAATCCAGTGCCTTCTTCACCCATGAACTCAACTTCCAACACTGTTTGTCGATCAATATGAGCGCGCATAAGTTGTCTACCCCATGCAAGTATGTTTTCTCCTCGTGGTATACGAACACGATCATGTTTTAAACGACCGACTCTGTACTCTTCTTCTCGTCTAAGAGGAAGACTTGAACCAGTGCGATGTCGCTCCACATTCTCTCGTTGAGATTGCAACCATACAATAGATCTAAATTTTTTTTTTTATAACAGAAATTAGAAGCAAATAAATATTTATAAAACATTTTTATTTACCTAGATGGTCCAAATGCAGTGCAATTAAAATACAAATGTCTCGTTTCAAATGGGAACAAAAATGAATATGAAAGATTCAAATGTTCACACCAAGATGGAAGTGCACCTGAACTTAATACCAAAGGATCTTGAATTTGTTGAACAAGTTTATTAGTCATTTTTTTGCTATTAAATATTTCGCTGTTCATCAACTCTCCATCATCTTTAATATGTGCTGAAAATTAGTAGACATTGTAGTTTAATAATAAAATCAATGGTGGCTCATGAAATTTATAAGTAGTGTAGCAGATATTTTCTAAATTACTGGAAGAAAATATTCAAAAACTTCTCATTTATAAATCTATAATGATATAATGAGGAATGCTAAATATATGATTAAGATCAATCGATTAAGAATTGCATGAATTGGGACATAGACACAGATTTCTTTTAGGATGAAATTTTGTCGTTTAGTAAGCTAACAAATTGATAAACTAACATTAATTATCTCTGGAGGCAATATTTTTCTGTCTCATTTTATCATATAGTTTTCAGAACCTCTTCTTATTTTTTTATTTCTACCAGTTAATTTACAAAAAAATAAAATAAGTTAAAATTATCAATAATCGGAAAAAAAAATTTAAACAATTATAGAAAATTTAAAATTATAAAAATAATTTTTAGAATGTGAAAACATATTTAAATGAAAAACTTGTATTTAAATATTTATATTTTTCTTTTCTTCCAGCTTGTCATACAGGTGAGGGTGTGTATCACTTGCTTTACCCTACCCTGAATATATTATAATATTTATTATTATATATATTTAGGTATTATACAAAATTAGTTACCTTCAAAAAAGTCATCAGTGTATGGTTTAAGTAAAGAGATCATTGGATTAATGGAAAGATTATGAAGCTGCCTTAAAAGTTGAAGTACATGATCAACAGTGCAACCCGTATTACTTAATTGTGTTCTTGTTGAAAATATAGGTAAATCAGAATCCCATTGATTATCAGGACCCACACTGAGACTTTGATCTTTGTTGGTCAATTCTTCATACAAGATTCTATAAATAAGTATATTATTATAATAATAAATATTAAATATATTGTTATAATCAGAGGTTAGATTTTTAGGTTATTAAAATATATTTTATATCATACTAATATTCTGTAAAAATGCATAAAAATGTTCTTTATGTATAGGAGTATTATCATGATATATTAATAGCAAAGTTTTAATATTAACAATGAGGTTATTCCAAATTCGACAAAAAATGTTGTTAAAAGGTTCTATCTATTAAAATATTAAATTAACAAGTTACAGAGCAGGTCCTCCATATTAGTGATTTACATTTAAAAAGAAAAATTGTATCCTACAGAGCAGATCCTTTGAGTTCACCAAACAACATTGAACAATAAATCTAATTGTGTGCATGAAAAATATTTTTAGTACTATTAAGAGGACAGTGCACTTATTTGATTTCTCTCTTGCAGCACCATATAGCAAATTTGAGTTCTGTAGAACAATCCTTGTGTTGTTAGCTTTAGTATTTGAGTGAATCTAAAATTATTACTTAACTTAGTTAAGAAAATTATCCATATTTGAAGATGGATAGTTTTACATTATTTCAATTTCTATAAAATTTTTATACTAAAATTTAAAAAATGCTCATATTATCTCAAAATAAACTTTCATTGTTTAGTTGTGTAAATAATAAATTATATATTTCACTAGTGTTCAAAAGCTTGCATTATAATTAAGTAATATATTGGGATAACTTAATTAGACTTTTGCTTCATATGCCCACGAATATAAATGTATTGAACCCCACTAATTATATGTCACGGAAGGGATTTGTAGGGGGTGACAAATAAGAGTGACCCGCATTGGGTGAAATGACCAAACTTTTTCAGCGAACAGAATATAATTAAATTCTTTTGCTCACGTATAAGTAGGTTCCCAAATTCGTCTTGATTTTTCTTGGCGACTACCAAGATCTGCTAATTGAGCTAATTTTTGAACAGCATGAAAAATTGTCCAATTAGAATCTTTGAGCTCGACTTCTACATCTTTAATCTGTAAATGTAATTATAAATAAATACTCAATTTGAAAATTAAGTTTCACATCTTACTCCTGGCAAATTAGGTCCTTTCAGAGTCAACTTAATTCTTGGTAATGATGTCTGATTGTTAGAAGTACTTGAATTTTCAGTAAAAACATCAGGAATTTCATCATTTTCATCATCAGGTGGAGCGATAACTTCTAAATCAGATGTTTGGTTGACATTAGTACGTCCTGGCCGCGGATCAAATGCTGGTATCAATGCTGTGAATTCTCTTCTAAGCACATAATCATCATCCCAAGAGCGCCTTTTATATGGATTACCACATCTATCAGCACCCACAATACTTTCAATGGCAGCATGCTGTTGAGCTGCAAATGCTTCATCTTCCTAAAAAAAGAAAGGTTATATTAATATAAATCAAGTATATTATTAGATATTTTTCAGATATTATTATAAGAAAATAGAAATCAATATACTTCTTCAGCAATATAGATATGGCAAACTTTTTTTTGGGAATTTAGATATCCATAAGTAATATTTCGTACAATATATAAATGTATAAAAACTCAAAATACATCGATAATCAAAATTCATTTTTAATTTTTAATTAATTGCTCCCAACCCTTGGGTGGGTTTGCCAATGAACTTATTTAATATATTTTAAAAACAATTTGTTTACTAGTCATAGAAATATCGATAACTCGGAGTATCGATACCTACATTTTTTTTTTATTGTGATTCAGTATTGCACAAAACAAACCGATATTGATACTCAAAAATATACCGTTGAGGAAACCACAAAATTAATAACATCATAATTAATCAGCTAATTTAATCCTTACCATACTTAGTAGATTTCTGGAGACCATTACCTCTTCATATTCTTGTTCATCTTCGTTTTCATCATCATCTGGAATATCATCATCTTCAACAATTTCTTCATCATCTTCAAGTTCTGCAAACAAAGCTGGGGCACGAACACTGTCCAAAAAATCCTATAAAATATAAGATATTAGTTAACGAAATAAACCATGATACAATTAACAGACACTAACTTCTAAACTGACTTGTTCACTATCGCTTGATGTAGACGCTAAGCTCATAGTTAGAGCTTCGCCAACACAAAAAGTTCTATTTGCAATGGTAGTTATAGAACATGAATTATTAGTAGTATTATTAGCCGATAAGCTAGGATAACTTTGGGCCGTTTGAAGCAAACCACCTAAAACATTAATTTGAATATTTACTATCCTAGTAATTTAATATTGAAAAATAATTTTGTTTTAATGTGTTAAAAATTAAAACAAATTATGAATAATATAACTATTGCTACAATATACTAATAGTGTAAACTTCTATTTTTTAGTTTGCACACCTTAAATGAAATAATATTGGCTTGATACTTAGTTTTAAATTTTTAGGTAGATTAATAAATTTAGTGGATATTAAAATTTGTAGGTAGTTGAAGAGATGATTTTTAGATTACTTTTTTTCGTAGTTTCTTAAATAAGGAAAGCTAGTTAGTCATTTATAGACTGTAATAGATGTGAATAAAGTTCAGTGAATTATTATTTCAATAAAAAAAATATTGTTATATTTACTTACTTGGAAAATTAGTAGATAGAGCCAAACGAACAAGACTAGATACTGAAGTAGGTACTCGTTGAGGTAAATGGTTAGAGACTTGAGTTTGGTTGTTATGACTATTGTTTCGATCAAAATTTCTATACTTTTGATATGGAGCCATTTCAGCTAACGGCTTTTGTATTGAGCATTGTGATCTAGGTGGTGCATTAGATGCTAAATTTGGTACACTGACACTCATGTGATTTGAAGAATTATTTCGGTTCTCTTCCTTTTTATTTTCTTTTACTAAATCTAACAAACAGTTACCAGGTTAAAAATTTTATCAGTTCATCTGAGCATTGATAGTTTTAAGAATTTTCAAATAGCAATACCTAAATTGTTCGGGCTACATATTTCTGTATTAAAAGCTGAATTATTTGCATTGTTTATTAAAGTATCAGTAGATAGATCCTGGGTCTGGGCATTGGAAGCATCTGATGTATTATGATGCATAATTATTATTGGCTTATCTTTTGAATTTACCTAGAACATAGATTAAACATTAAACATAATTTTTTTAGTTTAAAAATTAAGACACATCATAGAGAACATTGAAAAAAAAAAAATGATTAACTAACTTTATTGTTAGGAGGTGTATCAATTTGAATGGATTGCAATGTGTGAACTAAACTAGTAACAGAACTACGCCTATATGTTGGTTTCACTCTTCCCAAAGCTGGTAAAAATTCTTCTTCATAGCAATTACTGTTTTTCTTATTATTTTCAATATTTTGTTGAGTTTCATCTGGAAAAAAAATAATAGGGTTAAAATAACATATTAACATTACATAAGTGATTTTTATATTATTTTGCTAACCATTTGATGTAGATTCAACAATTGTGGCGAGATCAACAGAAGGAGTTGGGTGGACTACTATTCGAAGTGAATTATCTAATGAATTTGTAGTTACTGGGGTAACTGCAGAGGGTTCCATTCTCATAACTGACATTATGCTATCAGTGAATTGTTGAGCAGCTTGCTATAATATATTTAATATAATTTAATAAATACAATAGATTTTACAAAATAAAAATTAATTAATTTATATGGTTCCAAGAGCATACCTTTACCGCCAAGTTCTCTGCAGAAGATATTTGATCAGTACTGGTTACAGAAGCAACAGTGTTATTATCATTAGATGCTTCAGGTAAAATAGGAGTGGAACTAGGCATTCTTGTCATAATGCCAGATAAGGTTGTACTTGGAATGTTTTTGAACATTTTTGAAGCTATAAAAACAAAAAATATATAATTAATAATCAGATTTTTTTGATTTTTTGTAATGGTTGCAAATAATAACATGCGGTTAACACAACGGTTTTCTATTAAAAATATATATAAATATAAATATGTTAAAAAATGTAGCCTTAATAGTGCTTGATTTGGAAAGGTGTACCACTCATTCTATTTTCATAATATTGAAGCATATTAAATTATTTTAGCACACTTATTGTGAACTACAAGTGTTCAATTATTTTTATCTTCTTTTCTGTATTTTTTCTAATTCGAGCACTGGTTATGCTATGGTGCAAGCTATAATCATATTTTAAATCGAGTATAAATGCTTACGGGTAATCTAAAGTCTAGAGGATAAATTTCAACTATACATTTATACAAAGGGTTCTGCATGCTACAAATAAAACACAAAACTGGCAAAATTTTTGAGGTTATACACAACTATCATATTCATCACATACAGGCAGATGTAGTTTGGGGTTCATTGACTAGCCGTAGATCATACTTTCCTTCAGCACCCATTCGGTATGAGTTTGTAACTCCATGATCCCACACAACATCTATCCAACCTGACCCCAATATTAAAGTCTTAAATTTAAGACTTAAAATTCATATAATTATGAAAAATTAACTGTTACTGTATTTACCATTATGCAATTCTCCAGTAACTGTCCCTACACAAGGGGGATTTCCATCTTGATCTCTCCATTTCCAATCAATACCACGCATAACTCGAGCACCAGTCACCATTTGCTTATACATTTGAGCCTTGAACATACGTCTTTGGCGTTTTAGACTAGCTTCTGCTTCTTTAGCTAAAGCACCTACAGTACATAATTTTATTTTATTTTATGGTTAAAAAATACTTTGAAACATTAACTTACCCAAGTCTTCACATACACCAGTAACACTTCCATAAATCTCAAAACCAGATAATGAGAGATAATGTGTTTGCCCTGATGCATTTTTACCATTCTGTTGTATTCTAATATGCCGCCAACCCTGAGTTTCTTCCTTATCATTTATTTCTATGGACCAAGTAGCAGTATTTCCTGGTTCATTTAATGCTGTATCATCAATATGTGTGTATAATGTAGTCCAATTGGTACCATCTTTAGACACCTGTTTAAAATTTGGATATTATGTAACAATAAAAATACTTATATAAATTATATAATGATTATCTTACTTGGAATAACCAATTTCGTAGAGCAGAACGGCCATAACCTCTAGCATGCCTAAGAGTATAATCGGTAGGAATTATAAATAATCCTAAGTCAATAGAAAACCATGCCTTGCAATCATCATTAGTATGACAGTTAATCGCAACAGAATCCCTACTTAAAATATCTTCTACTTGACCATATGGTAAATTACGACCATCCGAAGACTGAACTAGCATTAATCCATATTGACCTGGGTTAACCCAATCTACAGTAGTTTTTCCGTTTGTTCCGATCCAATATAAGACTCCATTTTTATCAAAATCATAATAATGTTTGAACTTCATGGGTGTATTATTTTTATCTTTAAGTTTTTTAACATAATTATATGTGATGCGTTCATGATCATACCACTGTTTCGCAACCATTTTTAATAGATGTTTTTCAAGTTGATGTATAGTGGTTAGAGGCTCCATTCTTAAGCCTCTACCTGTACGATCAACAAGAGTGGTTTCTTTTACAGCTTTTTCCAAACGAAATCTGACACGTCTTGACAATATCTAAAAAAAAATGTTTTAACATCAAAATAACATTTTACACAGATTAGTAATCAACTAATATACTTGTAATCCATGAAAAGCACCAGGTGATTCATACAAGTACACAGGTAATCTTTCAATAGATTCTAAAACAGATATTAGCTTTTGCACTAAAACAGAAGCACAAGTCTCTAATCCTTTTTCATTTTTCTTTTCCTAATCAACAATTAAAAATAAATTAGATCAAATTAGATATAAAATAATTATTTATTTACTTTGAAACATTTAACAAAAATGTCAATCCTAAGTTTCTGCAGTTCTACAGCTTCATCGGCTTGTTCGTGACTACTGATAGTTAAAAGTTTCAATAAAACTTCAACTAAACCACTGCTATATATTTCGTACGCTGAAACACTGCCTTCATCCTCCATTAATAATTTTTTCAAGTCCAATACTGCCTTGCAAAGAGCTGATGCCCAAAAATCTTTATTGGAGCTGTCTTTGACCACAGAAGACTGAGAAATTATTAAAACATGTTATTAATTAAACATGGGGAGGAAAGAAGAGAGAATTGGGTTACTATTTTTTATTAAAACAATGTATATTTAGAGGTAAGCACTAAGCATACAAAATTATTATTTATGCAATTGCAACTATTTCTATAGATTCAAGATTGCCATATTTTGAATAATAAATATACATACTTGATTATGAATTGCTAATTCAATGGCTTTAACAATTTTGCTTAACCTTGCAACAACACCCCTTGGCTGAGCCTGGGCCGCTTTAAAGAATGTATCGAATATTTCTTGTGCTTGTCTACGAATCTAAACAATTAATTGAAAAATTGGTTAAATAAATAAAAATCAATAAGCTGTAAGTAACTAACTTTTTGTCCAACACTTTCGGCTGTTGCTGCTACTATATTTGCTTTTTTAACTGTTTCCCAACCAGAGGTAAAATCACTTTTAAGTGGTATCAAAGCAGTAAACATATGTTGATTGCCACGATTAGATTGGAAGGAAAACCCATTGGTTCCAAATATTAATGTTGTCATTTGCTGTAAAATTAAACAAATATTGTACTAAAATAATTCTTAAATAAATAATTAACCCAAAAATATATTTACCTGTAAGCCATCAGAGTTTTGTATGCTAAGTTCACAATCTTTCTTTGAAATAAGAATCCAGTTACCAACTGCTATTCTATTTAAACCAGGAATACTTAAAATTGGTTGGCTAACTGTGTTCAGTTTAACAAACACTTTGGCTTTTAAATATTTTTCAATAAACTCCGTTTTGTTTTCTAAATATAATAAAAATGCACTATTAATGTAAGTCATAAACACAATATAAAGCTTTATTTATTCCCATGTAATCAAAACAAAGAGTATTATACAATACAAGTTAATTAGTTATTACAATTTAAAATCAGAACGTTCTTGATGTTAAGTTATTACTTAAGTGCAGTATTTATTAAGTTACACAAATGACATCACAATGTATTAATAAGAACACAAAACAGATGTAAAAAACGGCTGAAAGAATTATAATATGTGATGGTGATTTTAAGTTTTATAATAAGCACAAACCATCAATGTCCAAATTGTTACAGAAAATATTATTTAAAATCTCTTGAAGTATATGAAATAATTTGATATTTTAATTGGCAATTATATATACAATAATTAACTATACAATAGAAAAATAAAAATTGAGTCTTAGAAAAGGTAGGGTAGTTAGGCTGATAGTGACAGAAGTCTGAGATTTTAACAATAAATATATTATATTAAATTAAAACTAGGAACTTAAACCAATTAAAATTTTTTAATATTACGAATAACAAGTTCATTAAATTAAACTAATAATAATAGTTCTTAATTAAATTGCATATTTACCATCAAAAGATGGTTGATCAGAAACTCTAGTTTTATCTGTATCAAATTCAAGTTAAATTTAAAATATACACATTGCCATATTGGAAAGTGCAAAATAAAATAATTTGTTTAAATTAATAGAATAACTTTACTTGTATCAGGTTGTCCTTCAGGGCTTCCACTGGAGTACATTGTAGATAATTTATCGTTTATCATAAATCTAAACCAACCGTTACTACCATTCGACAACTCCAACACAACATAATCATTCCAAGCATACAGACAATCTCGACCACGACAGAAAAACCAATCTTTCCAATGATATGCATGACCTGGCAATATTTCTTTAGCATCTTCAGTTGGAACCTGAGTAATCAATAAACACAAAGTCAGTACCATTATGCTGTGTACAGCATAAGAGAACAATTTGTTTACATAGGAACCAATTTAATCGCTCTATTTTGATTCTTCAATCAAAGCATAAAAAAAAATTATTATTAATACATGAAATTAAAAACCTACATTTTTTGACTCAATTTGCGGAACATCATCCTTTTCTGGATTATTATCAGGTCCAATAAGTTGTTGTACTTTACAAAAAACTCCCAGACGTGCAAAATGGTCAAGAAATGTATCTTGACATTTATTCAAAAGATCATAAATGGTTTGTAAAGCGATGACATGTCCATCATCATCCTCCTAAAATAAACAGTATCAAGTTTTTAAATAAGCTTTATCAAAACAAATTGACATCAAAATTTATTGAACACATTATATTATTTAAGATAAAAATGCAAGGATTAATACATTGTTAAATACACTTGCAACTATATCTATTAAGGAGATTCGATCCCAGGTGTTTTCTACCAAAATAGAATTATGCCAATTACAGTATTTTGAAATTAAAATTTTCTTATAACTTTCAGAATATTAAAAATTTAAAAACGTGATTAAGTTAATTTCAACTTAATAGACAAATTCAAATTTTTCAATAATTTTAACTACATTAATTAAAACAATTGGCAAAATATTGATACTTTTGTCAAAAATAATTGATATTCATTAAATGGTATATTGATATGTATGCACACGTTTGAGAGTGCTCAGCTAATTCTTTTATACTATATTGTTTTAGTTATATATATACAATACCTACTCTATTCAGAACGAGATTATATCTTGGTGGCCAGGCCTTTACTAACACACACGCACTTAGAAAATAGCTGATAATGAAATCCTTAAAGTCACAATCGGTATCTAATTCCCTTAATAGATCATATTATATTAATACTATAATACTATTAGATATTAGGTACATAAATGCTCCTTTATTCATTAAAAATAATAATGATTAATAAAAATTTATTTTAAGTAAAATAAAAAAAATAATTTTATCTAATTGCATTTATCATGGACGCCCCTCACTCAAGCCTTATAACTTTCTTTTATATATACAAAATAATAAACAATGCATTTAGTAATTAAAGAACTATAAATGTTATAATAATATTAAATGATAAGAGTTGTGATATGCAAAAGAAAATGAAGGGATTACACATTTATACCGGTACAACTGTTTTGACCCAGTTTGCGAGGTGGGTCAGAAAAATTATACCGGTATAACAAATATAAACTGGATCGCAAACAAATTTCTTTACTTTATACTGGTATTCATTTTGAGGGGAAATTTATACCGGTATGGACCAACGAATTTCTGGATAGTATAGATATCTCACTGGCGGCATTTCATAATACGCTCTAATGGATAAGGCCGTTATGCATCGCTGCAGTCAAGGCGTTAGTTCTGGATAGAAACACTAGATGGGCGCTAGAAGTCTACTAGTTATGGATAAGTTCGCTAGATTGGCGCTAGCTGTTAAAATTGTTCGAATACTGCAGTGTTAGATGAACACTAGTGTTGACTGAACTGAATTATTATATTCATTACGACTACTAACGCTATCTATTCTCAATAAATAAACTATAATTTAGCGCAACGCATAATCACGGCCAATGAGACATCTATACTATGTATAATCAATGGTATTACTTATTGCATTTGATTTAACAGATTATAAATATTTGTTTTTCTTAATAAAAAAATTGTATAGCTGCATCGATTTCCTGAAATTAGTACACAATTTGTTCTAATAAGAATGTAATCAAACTAAGTACAGCATAACTTTTGTGAAAGTTTTGAAATTAAAATTTTCTTTCTTCAGAATTGAGAATTACTAACTTTAATTATATTACCACTAGGTAGTGTCTGGGAATTGGGGGCACATATATTTGTTCTTCTTAGGTCAGAAGAACTTTCCTATAAATATAAATTTAAAACTTTGTATGTAAAATAACCAATTTTAAGATTTAATAAGTATATTATTATTATGAAAAATCAATCATTCAATTAAATGTATTATATTATGCAGTCCTAAAATAAAATTGTCTAAGAGGCGTGCAAAACAATTAAGTTATTTTACCATCAAAGATTTATAATTTTTTTTAACAATTAACATCTTGTAGAGTTTTCGAGGCAAATATTTCTGGCTCTCACCACTCATATCACAGTAAAACAGCCAAGTCTTATCCTGGAATAAATTTAATTTGGCAAAATAAAAGCAATTTAATTTCCTAAATAATAAAATAGTTCAGAATTTAAAAACAACTAATGAGAAGGAATGTAAAATATATCAATAAAACACAAATACCTATATTACAAAATAAATAAAAAATAAAGTACATTTTAATAAAATCAATTTTAAATATTACCTCATTATCAAGAACAGTAGCAAGTACTTCAACCAACAAAGGAGCAAGATTATTTGGACAATCAGGTCTACATATATCCTCAAGCCAATCTGATTTAATGTAATGAACCATTTTTTTAATTAAAGAAAGAGATGTTCTCCTAAAAATTGGTTTTTAAATCAAATATATTAAAAATGAACAAATATTTTTAAAATTCATTTAAAAAAGTACCTAATTGATGGAAGCATAGTTGATTGAAAAGTATGACAAAAAACAGGCATTAAGCGTTTAAGATAAATCGCAGCCATCTCAGGATCTCCTTTTGGTTCTTTAGATTCATTTGACTGGACAATTTCATTTTTGGAAGACATCAACCATTCTACAAAATTGTTTTTAGTGTTAACTCAAATAAAATAATTGAAAACTTATTATTTAACATCTAACCAGGAGATTCCAATATAGTAGCAACTTCACGATGTCCTTCGTCCATTCTTTCTCGTGCTTTATCCAATGGTGTTTTGCCTTCTTCATCTCGAAGTTCTGGATTAGCACTGTTTTTTAGAAGAATTTTAGCTATGGATGGCCTTCCAAAACAAGCGGCATAATGCAACGATGATGACCTGAGACCTTTATTGACATCAGCCCCTTTAGAACACAAATATTCTACCATTTCTTGAGTACCAAACGCAGAAGCCCAGTTAAGTAAAGTCTGACCCACTTCATCCACAAAATTTACGTCAATTGCTAAGATAATTACCAAAATTATATTATTTATTACAATATTAAATTAACTGTAGATTCAATTTTACATACCCCCAGAATTTACAGCCTCCATCAATGCTTCCGTGTCTTTACTTCTGATACAGTCAATTAAGTGGCGTTGAGATTTTTCAGCAGTAGAATCTAACCGTCGAAGTTTTGGTAATAAAGGATTATTACTGGTACATGCTACTGTACTCCATGATACTGCATCACGTCCTTCAAGAAGTAGCACTAGTAATAAATCAACTAAACGCATAGTGTCCAAACAACATCTAAAATATAAATTATTTATAACAATAAATAAATTACATATTGAAAAATATAATTAAGAATAAAAATATAAAATTTGAATAATTACCTTTCGTCGCCTTTCAGAGCTTTTTCAATTGCATCAGCTAAGTTAGATCTAAATAAATCCTAAAAGAAATGTATTATTTAGATAATTTGCAGTTTTATTACTATCTAGAAGATATTTAACTTTATTATTACAAATAGCCTTTAAAAGCAAATTGTATAACATAAAATGTATTCAAAAGATAATTTTTAGTAAATGCGACATACATGAGATACAGACTTAGATCCACGACATAGAGTAGTTAACAAGCTTATAACTGTGGATATAGACTGAGAAGATTTAACCTCGGTAGTTGAAGTATTTGCATTGAGACCTGAAAATGGTAAATATAAATAATTTATTGTTATATTTTACTTTATAATAATAATAAAAAAAATAATAGAGAAATTATTATTATTAAATATTTTTGAATTAATTAAAAAATTATGTACCAGGTGTTCCTATATTTGTTACTGTAGGTCCAGCTGCTGAAGACAATCGAAGTATCAATTCATTTAGAAGTCCATGTTGTGCTAAAGGAGCTGGGTCAATTCCACGACGTGTAAATCTATCAGATAATGAAGCAAAGCATCTCAAAGCTCCATCGGAAACATGAGAGTCATCATGTTTAAGCATTGTAGATAAGGATTCGACACAAGTTGGTAATGATGCTTCATTTGGTTCCATTTTAGTACATAATCTAGAAACTACAGTCATGGCAGAATGTAGAGTATCTTTGTGCACACAAGATCCGACATCACTAATGAACAATAACACAGAACTCAGGCCCCCAGCCTCAAAAACAGCACCGGCTTCACGAGTGCATATTAGTTCCAATACCTAGATTATCAAAAACAACGAAAGTGGATTACTTATTTGAAATTCTCTACAGTTAAAAATGAACATACTTTGCAACACTGTTCAGCTAAATCTTTATTTGTTCTTGAAAATATATCTGTAATTACTAATCGATTGCAAATTGCTCTTAATGCACCATCAATTGCCACAATACGTCTAGTACATTCAGCAGATACATCTAAATAATAAGTGATTGCTCTAGCAGTAACTTCAAGTACACTATCGGGAGCACTTTCGTCAAGAAATATCCGACAAAGTGCTGGCAAAAATGAGCGGGGTGGACATCTAAAAAATAAAGTTTTATTAATTAATAATTTAAAACTTAATGTTAAATTAAAAGAAATAAACTAATGTATTACACTTCAAAACATCTGTCAACGTTATCAGACATCAATAGTAACATGCATAACTGTTCTAGTGCTATGAGTTGCATATCTCTTTCATCACCCTGGCCCATGTTAAGCCACTCCAGAAGAGTTTCTGGATCAACATCAGCCATCTTTTATGAACAATCGTACAATGAACTCTAAAATAATTTTAAAAATATATTTTATGGATAAAATATAAACAAGAGCAACACATTTCATATTAAAATAAAAACAAAGTATAATGTAATATAGGTACCTACAACTATTTGGCAGAAATCTGGGTTCATAGTAAATTTATATACTTTTATATCAAGGTCATGGCAAGTAATCAAAAATAACTAAATGATATTATTTTGAGTAATTCATTTAATTTAAAAAAAGTTTTATTGCATACTATCAGTTTTTTTGTTCTTATATAAAAAAAATTGAATTAAGTCGCAAAATTATATAAATAAATTAAATATTATAATGTTGGTACAAAAGGTTTTTTGGCTTAAATTTTTAAAAACAACAATATTATGATTGCTTACATATTATAAATATAACTATATATATAACTTAAATCCGATAGCATAGTAGACAATAATATAAACTAGACTTTTGGACATGAAATCTATTATTATTTAGATAACAAGTTAATTAATAAAAGATAAGCAAATACTTAATAAATAACTTTAAATTTACATTTAAAAGTGTAGGTACCTATAACAATTTTTTACTAAAATAATATTAAAGAAAAAATATTATTTATGATGATCTTTGAAACAGTGTACCTACAGTTAATAATAAAAATATAAGTGAGGTACCCGAGGAGGTACCTATATAATTGTAGAGATTAAAATTGACAAAAGTGCCTAGTGGTTATATAAACACTAAGAAATAAATCAATTTATAAAAAAATTTGGATTCACGCTTTTAAATGTGCAATAGGAATATTTTTCTTCTAGAATTAATTTAATAAATAATATAAAATGAATACCTAAATAGGCACTTATGTAGGAAGTTAATAACAATAGGTATACATTCCCAAAAATAAAACTTGTGATCAATGTTAAAATAATAATGACTTAGGTAATCAGTTACTTATGTTTTCATGATATTATCATACCTTGACCTTAAAAAAAAAAAATCAATACCAAACACTCAGGTGATAACAATTTAAATGTAAATGTACCAACTTTGAATTTACTAAAAAGAACAAAGTAGATATTAAACTATCAAAACATCAAAAATTGAATAAAATAAATATAAAGTACTTACATACCTATGTTTTTATCTCGGTTTTTATTATAGATAATATTAAGCGGGGTAGATTATTTAAATTAGGTATAATTTTTTTTATTTTATATAGGTTCGTATGCACAAAGGTACATTTTAAACTACTTTTTTACACAGGGCAAGATTTAGCTTTGTGGTGGCCAAGGCAGGTGCCCTTAATGACCTCCGTAAAATCCAGAAAGATTTCTAAATTTACCGACCAATTATAAATAAAATATTACAGTTAATATTAATCTACACCTTATCTATACAATGTCCATCACAATATGTGCCTGTAACCATTCATGTTACAACAAGTATCTACCGAGGTATCTACTTACAAAAATTATAAATTATATAATAAACTATTGACTTGAATATTGATTACGAAAGTTAAATATTAAAGTGTATTGGATGTATAGAAAAAAAACCTTTTTTATTTAATATATATATATATTTGTACCTAAATGACAAGATTCAATTTAAAAGTACGTAGGTAACCGTTTATTGTTGAAAATTCTAATTCAGTTTACACCATAAATTCTTATCAAAATATAAAATTAATTTAGGTACCTACCTACCTAAAGTAGTAATTAATGTTTTTGGAGGAAATTTGTACTGGTTTAAATTTAATATCAATGTGAAGATCGATAACAATAACAACTTAAATGAAAGCCGAAAAGTATTGTTAATCAAATATTTATATAAATAATAGGTACTTGTAGTACTTCACAGTAGATAACGTTATAATGTAGGTACCCTGGTAAAATGTTTGACTAATGATAATACTATGGAGTCAATTTGTTGTCGTTTTTTTAAAAATCTGTTCTCTTGTTAATGGATTTAAACAAAATTACATAGGTATCCATTGCCTAACTTTTAATATCACTATAATAGACCATTACTAACAAAGAATTACATATTATAGGTATAACATAATATATCTAATAGTACAACATTTAAATATCAACAATTTGATTACTATTTGTTCTGTAGGTGCAAAAGATGGGTAATATTGTGCAATATTGAATAATTAAACTGTTAAGTAGACGTTAAGATGTGTCAAAACATTCATGGGTATTTGAAATGTAGAAAAATCTGGAGAGATTAAAGGAAACAAACTATGCGATTCAAATGGGGAAAACTATAGTAATTTTGAAACACAATTAATATAATAACAATACCTATCGGATATCTGTATAGCGTTGTGGATGTAAGACGGAAGGTATAAAAGATGGGGTTAACGTCAACGGAACTCGTAGAGTTTACGGAGAGGTATCGAACTATAACTAATGTTGGCAAATATGAGTCGATGATAGGTTCACCATAACACGACAGGAATTGACGGACAAGTAGACACGCGTTACCGAGGGGGCTCGTTACCAAAACACCCAAACTTGGGAGTTCTAGTCAAGTCACACGACGATGACGACACCGAGGAAATGGCGACCGAACGAAGACCGCCGACTGTCACAATGTCCACGACGCGCGTGGTCGGTTTCTCGGTCGTTCGTCGATTATTATTACTTTTCCTCTATCCGTGGCCGCCGTCACAACTCTAAATTTCTGTGCTGGGTACGCCGTGTAATACTCACGTCACAATAGAGTCAGCTGTATTCGCCCAAAACCGTCGTCGAGCTACAACCACCGGACGTCGTCCCGCGACGTACAGCGCATATTATTCTGTACACGCTCAAACGCAATCCAGTCGCACACGTCGAGAACGGTACGATGCCAATGGTCAACACACTACACACAAATACACAATATTAATACAGGTACACAACTAACACCAGAACACGCGCACGTACGCACGCGCACACGACGATCGAGATCTGGAACTCAGACGAAACTACGCGATGGGAATGGGAAAAAAAAAAGTGGTAAAACGGACAAAAAGTATTGCGTTATAACTTATTCCGCTCTGTTATTACGCCGAACGAGCCACCAACGCCAAGTGCCAACTATTGAACTACGATGGATTCGGATGATGATGGCCGACGACGGGCGACCGGACCTGTAGTGTCGTACTCTTGTCGAAGGGTGGGGACTGGACGGTGTCGGTGCACCTAGGAGGGGGGGCGGCGGTGACTCGGCGGAATAATGTAAACGTTCTACTATCACCGAGTTGCCAAGGAGGTGGGCACGATTAGAGATAACAGATAACCGGCCAAAACCAAAACAAAATAAATAATAATATGACGTTCCACACTTCCACGATTTTTTTTTGTCACATTTGTTCAATATCGTTGATACACACAAATGGCCGATAATAACTATTTTGTAATTATATTGTATCGTTCTTTTATTACTTAAAAACAATCGGTCGAATAACCGACATTTTGAACGAATAATGCGACAGTCTGTATAATGACAGACTATCATCGTAGTGTTGTAGTTGTCGGTTTATTATGACTGTAAGGTTTGGCAGTTGTTGCATTTAATTTTTTTTAGGGGGCTATTAGATGTACTGCTAAGCATAGAAAAATACTGCTAAGTAAGCTTGAAATTATTTTTACAACACTACGAAAAGAGAAATAAACGTTTATTGTGTATAGGTATTTTTGACTATTTAGTGATTTTGTAGTTTGAGTTCATAGGTATTTCAAAATTTTACCATTTTTTAAATCATATTTCATAATTTATTATTGATAAGTTTATAATACAAAAATTGAAAATTATATCTTTAATGGAGAAAACCCTTATAACACCAAATAAGTGCATAGGTATCAAAAACCTGCACGCTGACATGTTCCAACCATCTATCTATAAATTAATAGGTCATGGTTCCAACTTCCAACCAGAACGGCAGAACAGCTGTTCAACCTTATCGTTATCACCTCTCGTCGAGTATAATTTTACAAGCCTGGGCAAGTTAATGATAATTTTCAACTGAATTACTGAATCTTTTTATATTGTATTAATAATTACTACGTGTGAGTCATGTATTAATATTACACTTTATAATATAATATAAATATGGTTGAGCGTGAGACCGTTACACACTGACATTCAGGGCCGTATTCATAGTGGATGCTTAGGAATCAGTAATGCTTAAGCTAATTTTGATAATATAAAAAACAAAAAAAATTGTGATTATAACTAAAGCAATGATTAAGGTAGGTCTCGACCAACCTTAATTTAAGTAATACTTTTTCTTTTCTTAAGCCAAAGTTTCGTTTATGAATCTCATTTGAGTCATAAGTATAGATTAAGCAATACTTATTCTTAAGCATCGGCTATGAATAAGGCTCTCAGTTTTCACAGATTCACTCTAGCACAAGCACGGCTACGTAAACTTGGACTACTGAGTTGAAAGATTGCGCAACTTCCGTTACTCTATATTTTCGTGACATCGAATTTACCAATTCACTCTACTCCAATGTTTTTACCCACATTCTTTTTTCGGGCAAGGGGGTGCGTAAAGATGTTAACACATCAAAAAAGATTAGTTTCTCCCTGTACAAAAAAATTATAGTCAGGCCAAAATACAAAATTGTTTTAAGTAGGTATACCGTATACATAAGTATACTATGCAAGACCTCAATAGACACCCCTGGATGAAATCAAGGCTATAATAATATAGTACATTAATACACTCACTGAAAAATAATAAAGCCTCAATTTTGAACAATATTAATTCAGAATTGATAAAAATGTTTGGTAGGTACTCAACTAATTAGTAATTTCACAAATTAAATAATTAATACAAAATATATGGACAAATTAGCAAGTAGAAACCAAGCGATTAGAATACGGCCATAATTATCTAATTAATTTTTTTGGTAGGAAATTCTACCAGAGTTGAGAACAAAAACAATAAGATGGGTTAAACATGACGTTTATTTTATAATGAAAATAAGTAATCACACAG